AGGGACTGCACCCCGTGGAAATTATGGACCCACGCTGGAGCCGTTTGTGACGAACTGTAGCCCGTGGAAAGGACTCACGTTGGAGAAGTTCATGGAGGACTGTCTGCCATGAGAGGGACCCCATGCATGAGCAGGGGAAGAGTCCTGTCCCTAGGAAGAAGCAGCAGCAGAGACGATGTGTGATGAACTGACCCCAACCCCCATTCCTGTCCCCCTGCGCCGCTGGGGGGAGTAGATAGAGGAACTGGGAGTGAAGTTGAGCCCAGTGAAGAAGGGAGGGGTGGGGGGAAGGTTTTTAAGATCTAGCAGTTTTTCTCCTCTCCTTCTCTGATTTTGTTCGATAATAAATTAATTATTTTCAAGCTGAGTCTGTTTTGCCCATGATGGTAACTGATAAAATGATCTCTCCCTGTCCTTATCTCGACCCACGAGCCTTTTGATTTACTTTTCTCTCCTCTGTCTGGTTAGAGGGGAGTGATAGAGCGGCTTTGGTGGGCACTCGGTGTCCAGCCGGGGTCAAACCACCACAGCAACCCAGCATGGGGGTGCAGACCCGGCTGCTGGTCCCTGCACGGAGCCAAGCTCCAGCTCCCGGGCGCCTGCGTGATCAGCCCACCCTTCCAGCCTTGCTCTGCTCTGCCGCAAACATCACAGCTTGACAGCTACGCTGAATAACTACGGACGGGACAGACGGGCGACATTTTACAGAAGCCAATACAAGGATGCCCATTTATACCCATGGGAGCTCTCGCACTGTGTGAAAGAATGATTTTTGTAAAAAAAAAAAAAAAAAAGCAACATTTCTGATGTTAAAGTCTGCAAAGAACACTGCAATTATTCCTGAGCGAGCTCTGTAGAAAAAGCTGGATATGCTGTAATTTGGAAATAATTTAACATTTTACTAATTCATGCGTTTAGCTGCTTTGAAAAGAACATTCTTTATTATTGTTTCCTCTTGAAACAAGCACATAATTCTATTACTGCGTAAGGCTGATACCACGTACGCCTAAAAACATGTTAAAATCAGGGGGAAAAAAAAAAATCCATTTGCACACAGACTTGAATCAAGAAAACCTGGGTCAATCTCCTCTCTTGTAGCAAAGTAAATGCAGAATCAACAGGCTCATCGTGGAAGCGAGGGTCTTGGTGGCTCTGCCACCTCCCACCAGCGGCTGGGAAAGCCACCGCAGCCCAGGTGGCTTTAAAGGACCAGACTGGAGGCTCACTGGGCCAGCGCATCCCTTCAGGAGATCCGTCTGAATAATTCAAACACAAACCCACACCCCTATAACCCCCCGGTACCTCATTCCCCTTCGGTCTGGGGAGGGCAAAAAAGGCATTTGCATTCATCCTGGCAGGTGGAGACACTGAAACACGGGACAATCAAGACGCTGGTGCTACCCACTGCTCTGCCCAGTCTGCCCAGTCTGCCCAGCCTCCCTGCAGTGGGAACTGGGCATCGGCGCTGCCCCTTCCATCGTGGCGGGATGGAAAGCCAGTTCTCCACGTCTCCACACTTTACCTATTGCTAACCACACTCTGCCGGGGACTTCAGCCACCCAGAGAGCACAAGGTTCACTTTTATTTTCTGTTAGCAGCAAAGTCCTTCCACCAGATACAGCTTGGCTTCGGGTGTTTGATTTTCCCCCTAGAAAGCAGGCATAAATACCCAGCATTCCCGGGAGGGAGGCCACGCCAGCAGGCTTTCCCAAATAACCCCAGGGCTGGCAGGGGGGAGCCCAGAGCTCTGCACCAACACGTACAATAAAATCCTATTTTATTTCCCACTCGGCACTCCACACAAAGAACTTTTCTGGCCATCTCTAGCTGCAAATAAAGCAGTATCTTGCTTTGCATTTATTCTGCCTGTATTCCCATTTAGAAACAAAACACAGGGCTTTTTTGGTTTGTTTTTTTAAAGTCTGAAGAGATGCTCTTGCTTCATGGAAAAACTTAAGGCGCTTTCCAAAAGAAGAGGTTTGCACAGTCAAAGAGAGCACAAGCCCAAACACACTTTGCATGTGCCGTGCCAGCTATTGCACTTGAAGGAAACCAGCAGACAAATACCACATCGACAGGGCTGGAGGAAAAGCACGCGGACAGGAGCCAACACGGAAAGGATGCGCATCCTCCCTCCTCCTCCTCCTCCTCCCCACCCCGCCGTGCCAGGTACAGCCAGGCTCCTCTCGGCACATTAATTGACGCAGTCCGTTAATGGATGAGCAATTAACAAGTGCATGCAACGATTATTTGCTAAGGACCACAGCAGGGCTGCATAACTCAGGAGATTTTTTTTTTAAAAAAAAAAAAAAAAACAAAAAACAAACTAAAGCTGTTTTCACAGCTGGCACAGACAAGTCCTGCGATAACGCAGGCTCCGAACGCGGCTGGATCAGGGTCAGTCCCGGCAGCACGGGGCGGGGGGGGCAGCTGGGAAGGGGGGGGGACACCACATCCCTCCGAAAGCTTCTGCAAATGGCTTTATACGGCTCTGCTCGTAAGAGCTATTTAACCTCTCGGCCAGAGCTCTCCACGTGGACACCGTCCGCGTTTGAGGAATGAGCCCGGGTTAATCCGCCGCAGGCAGGGTGCAAGGCTGGGTGCAAACCCGTGCCAAGCGCCGTTATCCGTGATTCAGAAGCAAAACAGAAGGGCTGCGCCACGAAGACTCTGGCTACCCCGGGCCACTCGCCACGTGCATGAACCTTGGACTGGAGAACCGGCTTACAAAAATTTGCTGATGTTGCTACAGCTTTGGAGGCTGCAATTACATGAAGGACAAGAGAGAGAACTCAAACGATACTGGTAAATGGCAGGAGGGTGGGAATAATAGGATGGAATTTATTAGAAACAAGTGCTACGTCGCAGTATTTGGCTGTTGCCATGCAGGATAGAAAATAAGCAGCAGTTTTTTCTCTAACAAACTCTTTTTCTCTGGATAAAAAGAATAAAAAAAAGAAAAATAAAAAAAAAAAAAAGCAAGAAAGAAAAACAAAACCAAGAAGGAAGACCGGCGTTTCAGTGAGTCAAGAACCAGCAATCCTAACAAAGGCACAAGCGGTGCCAAGAGGCACAAACAGGGCGGCTGTCTGCAAGCCAAAAAGGCAGCTGGGGGGCAGAGCACGGGAAGCGCCAGCTCCAAAGCGCTCGGCCGGCGGGAACGCAGCGCCAGGCCTGGGAGAAAAAAAGGCCAACGAGACAAAAAGTCAGCGGCGAAGCAAAACTTCGGAAAGAATGAACGAACAAGGTAAAAGGGAGATGGTAAAAACCAAAATAAAATCCAAAAAGGGGAAAAAAACCCCATGCTAAAAAACGCCGGCAAACGCTGCTGACACCATGTTTGCCCAGCCCAGGTTTCAGATTAATGATTTCCTCTTCCCAGCACAACTTCAGCTCCCTGCCTC